TGCATTAAAAATCTGTTCAGACAGATATCCTTGTTCCTCGGTGATTTTATTAATGGCCTCTGGGAACTCTTCAGCTGACTCTTGGTGGGCAGAACTGCTTCTCCTGTTTTCTTGACTTTTTTTAAGCCAAACCTCTTTCTTAAAATTATCAAACCATCCTTTGCTGGCATTAAATTCTCCAACTTTGGATCCTTCACCTTCCTTTTGCTTTAAGTTGTCACATAATGACTTTGATTTTCTTGAATCATATTAGAGTCTATCAGTACATCTTTCTTATATCAGCCCTATTAAAAGCTGCATTTTCAATACAAAATAAAAAGGTATTTTGCAGGGGCACCTGGGTGACTCAGCCAGTTAAGAGTCTGTCTTCGGCTCAGGTCATGATCAAGCCCCATCGGGCTCCCTCCTCAGCGGGGAGTCTATTTCTCCCTCTCCCTCTGCCCCTCCGCCTCCCCACCCCACTCATGCTCTCTCTCTCTCTCTCAAATGAAGAAATAAAATCTTTAAAAAAAATATTTTACAAAACATGCAGGGTTTTCATACCTCTTGGTGTAGCTGCAGCAATGACTTCGCGAGTTTCCTTTTCCTTTTTTACAATGGTCCTTAACGCTGCATTCATTTATCTTGAGAAAGGCAGATGACCACAGCTGCAGACGTCAGTCTTTGGTAGGTATCTCAAGCAATTCAAGTTTTTCTGGGAATGTCATGACTTTTCTCTGCTTCTTGGGAGCACTTCCAGCATCAGTGGTGACACTTTGCCTGGGTCCCATGGTATTATTCAAGATTTACAGTATTGCACTAAACACAGTGAAAAATATGCAGGAGGTGTGAGAAATCACTTTTTACTGCGATATGCAGTTTACTGGAGAGATGAGCTGCTCACACATATATATTTCTGTATATTTTATGGTAGTAAATGATAAAGATTAGTATCTACATATGTTTTATGCATTTGTGACATACCTTTTTCTTAGTGTTTTTTTATAATTTTTTATTGTTATGTTAATCACCATACATTACATCATTAGTTTTTGATGCAGTGTTCCATGATTCATTGTTTGTGCACAACACCCAGTGCTCCACGCAGAACGTGCCCTCCTCAATACCCATCACCAGGCTAACCCATCCCCCCACCACCCTCCCCTCTAGAACCCTCATTTTGTTTTTCAGAGTCCATCGTCTCTAATGGTTCATCTCCCCCTCCGACTTACTCCCCTTCATTCTTCCCCTCCTGCTATCTTCTTCTTCTTTTCTTAGTTTTTTTTTATATTTCTAAGCTAGTTTGCAAGTTTTTTCAAGTTGTCACAAATCTCCAAAAGCTTTTCCAACATATTTTTGAAAAAAATTTGAGTCTAAGTGGACTCATGCACTTTAAACCTGTGTTATTCAAGGGTCAACTACATGCATAAAATACTGAACGATATACATTTAAAAAAATATCAGTAGTTCCCTCTGAGTGGTCGTGGTGTGGTTATTTTTTTTTCTTTCATTTTACTTTGTGTATTTTCTAATTTTTCTACCCAACATATATTGATATCTACTACTTGGTCATTTCTTTTAAAATGAAAGTAATTTGGGGCGCCTGGGTGGCTCGGTTAAGCGACTGCCTTCGGCTCAAGTCATGATCCTGGAGTCCCGGGATTGAGTCCCGCATCGGGCTCCCTGCTCAGCAGGGAGTCTGCTTCTCCCTCTGACCCTCTTCCCTCTCGTGCTCTCTCTCATTCTCTCTCCCTCAAATAAATAAATAAAATCTTTAAAAAAATAAATAAATAAATAAAATGAAAGTAATTTAGGGTGCCTGGGTGGCTCAGTCGTTAAGCCTCTGCCTTCGGCTCAGGTCATGATCCCAGGGTCCTGGGATCAAGTCCTGCATCGGGCTCCCTGCTCTGTGGGAAGGCTGCTTCTCCCTCTCCCACTCCCCCTGCTTGTGTTCCTCTCTCGCTATGTCTCTCTCTGTCAAATAAATAAATAAAATATTTTAATAAAAAAAATAAAATGAAAGTAATTTTAGGGGCGCCTGGGTGGCTTAGTCGATTAAGCGTCTGTCTTTGGCTCATGTCATGATCCCAGGGTCCTGGGATTCAGCCCCACATCGGGCTCCTTCCTCAGCAGGGAGCCTGCTTCTCCCTCTCGCTCTGCCTGCCGCTCTGCCATGTTCTCTCTCTATCTTTGCCAAGTAAATAAAATCTTTAAAAATAAAATGAAAGTAATTTTAGAAATTTTCTAATATAGCCCGTTCTTTCTACATTTGCAGAAAGCAGGGTTTCAGAGTCACAGGTAAAGTGCCTGAACTAGGACTTGATCTTCTGGCTCCACGTTCAGGGCTGTTTCTGTTACACGGTGCTCAGTTAGCTCTGAGTAGATGGCAAGTGCTTACAGGCAGGGGCTCTACTGTGCTCACCTCGTTTCTCGCCAGTACTTAGCCTGCTGTCTGGCCAAGTAGTAAGCCTCAGGGAATATTTACTGGATTGAATATCTTGCAGGGTAGGGCCCAGTATTTTTATGAGTCTTATTTTTCACACGTAACGTACACACAATCACTAACCCGGTTTCATATTCATTTTCCAGTATCTTAGTACGCAGATTTTCCTTTCTCTTTCCAAACGATTTGCCTTGAAAAAGAAGGCCCTCACTTTTTTATTCTCTACCTGCGTTAGCTTATGGGGCCGCATCTTGAGGAGACACCTCAGAGAAAGACCGCATTTGGATTCTCTTTGGGGTCTTTCGGTTGGATGGCTTCTCTTCCCTTTCAGGAAATCCCCTCCACTGCCTCAGCTTTTCAGTCCTGTGCTGTCAGCGCCTGTCATGCTCACGTGCCCCCCCCACCCGTCAGAGGTGTGCACTGGACGTCTCTCGTCCTTTCCCCCTCTCACGGGCAGCCTTTGGCATTCTGTGTCCAGGGCTCCTTCCTCTTCTCAGTCTGATTCACTTCCCTTAAAGATGTTATCTACACTGCCTACTTCAGCATGTTCTAGTTACTTTTCTCTTGAGGGCTCCCTCTCCTGAGGGTCCTCTGGCTTCTCTGTTTACTTCTCAGAGTGCAGGCTCCACCTGATACGTGTACTTGTCTTACATCCTCTGCACGTGCAGGATCCAGCTCACTCACTTCCAGCTGTTCTTCTCTCCCTTCCCTTTTCTGTTTTTCTTCTTTGTTTTTGTTACCACTTTTACAAACGCCTCCTCCCACTCTCTTTTGCCTTGTTGTTCCTCTAAGACCCTTTTACCCTCCTCTCTGCCCCTTGCGGATGTTTGTAGGGTCTCTCAGGCACTTGTGCCCAGCATCCTCCGTTTCAGCCTTTACTACTTTCTTCCCCATTTTTATTGAGCCCTAATTTGGGACAAGTTTTGTGTGCTTTACATGTATGCACACAGGGGCAAAAATGAATGTGACACCCTTTTTTGGCCCCTGGTGCGATGGCATACCACATGTGTGCCACTTTACGCTCTACTTTAGTAGCTCTCATGAGCCTCACTTGAAACATTTTTGGACTTCTGCATATAATCCCAGCTTATCTGTGGTACCTCTCTTCAACAAAGTTAAAGTCAGGAAACACGGACGGACAAAGGATTTTTTCCCCTCGTGCATAAATGTCTCTCATCAAAAAAGATATCAAGAAAGATAGTGTATCTATTTATTTATGATCGAGCCTGCCCCTGAAAACACAGATGTTACCTGCACCTCTTGTGCTTCCAGGAAAGGACCTGAGGAAATGGGTAGCCTGCCCTTTCTGGCCCTGACGCTCCAGCTGTTACTTTTCTCAGGAGTGTGCAATGGAATTGACCACCACCTTAACCAGATTCTTAGGCTGCATTTGTTTTCTCAGAGCAGTCAAGCATTAAGCCCTTTCTGTTCAGAGGAAGGACAACAACATTTTTATCTAAGTCTAGAGACTCACCACTGGCATGTGAATAATTGCATTAAAGAGTGTCACGTTCAACACCACTAGCTAGTTTTTGTGTACTTCCTACATGGTCTCTAAGAAGCTCCTTGTTTCATCCACATATTGGTTCTTGATTTTTAAATTTTTTTAAGGTTTTTATTTATTTGACAGAGAGATGGGGAGCACAAGTAGGCCAAGTGGCAGGCAGGGGGAGAGGGAGAAGCAGGCTCTCCTCTAAGCAGGGAGCCCGACATGGGGCTCGATCCTGGGACCCCGGGATCATGACCTGAGCTGAAGGCAGCCGCTTAACCAACTGAGCCACCCAGGCACCCCAGTTCTTGATTTTCATTAATGGTATAATTTGCTTTATTTTAGAGCTGCATTTAGATGCATAATTAACCATCACTGTCTTTGTTGAAAATGCCACACGCCATTTTTCGGATTTATTCGAAAAAATATAGTTAACCCAGTTGTAAAAATAGACACAGCCATTGACCAAATGGAAGAATGTTATTTAATAAGATGCTCTATATCCTTTCCACTTACTAACCGTTGGAGCATCATCCGTGACACTTTTCTTTCCCCAATGAGTGAAGAATTTTACGAACTCTGATTGCCTGCTCTTAATTTCTGGAAGTTGCCCCAGGTTTGGAGTGCTTAGTGTCTGTATTTGAGAAGTGTATTTCTTTTTTGCTTGTCAGTGCCAGAGCCGGCTTTATGCATCTGCTGGTGGTGCTAGATGTTAACAGTGTGTTCAAGAAGCAAAGGTGAGGACGCCTGGGTGCTCAGTTGGTTGGGCGGCTGCCTTCGGCTCGGGTCATGATCCTGGAGTCCTGGGATCGAGTCCCGCATTGGGCTCCCTGCTTGGCGGGGAGTCTGCTTCTCCCTCTGGCCCTCCCCCCTCTTATGCTCCCTCTCTCTCTCTCATTCTCTCTCTCAAATAAATAATATTAAAGCAAAGGTGATTCGTACTTTGGTCTTGGGGTGTGTGTGTGTGTGTGTGTGTGTGTCACATGGTGTTTATTACCCATGCTGTTGCCAGGAGTACACCGAGATTTGGTTGTGGGCAAAAGACATTGTTTAAGTTCATTGAGCACATTTTGTGTACTTTTCTCCTAGTAAAGAGCTGAAGAAGAATGAAGAGACAACCAAATACACAGAAATGAAATGACAAACCAAACAGAATTTCTCTTCAGAGTTAAGAATTTTCAGATACTAAGGAAGAAAGGAAGGACCCACTATTTCTTGTCCTTATGAGAGAATCTAGAAAAATCAGAAGCGAGGTACGAGTAAAAAAATAAATGTGGCCTTTTGACCTTTGTTGTTATAAACCATTGTGATTGTTGTTGATCAAAGTATTGGTACTTGTATTTATTAGTAATTACATCAAAATTATATGACCACTGTTGGAAAACCTATAAAGAAGAAAACATAACTGCTATTCAACCAACAGGAAGGAGAAGTGTTTACACTGTTAGGATGTCCATGAAGCAGTCATTTAATATTATTATAGCTGTAACGTGATTATGTGTGTGGTGTTATGTTCAGAATGTGAAATATATGCTTTTGAAATTTAGCTTTATTTTAGAGATAAGCAACTTCAGAATATTGTGTATTCTAAATGGTCCCAGTGACAAAGACATTAAAAGGGAACACATTTGTTTTGAATGAATCATATATACGTAATGTGATACATATAAACTAAAAATGGCCTTTGGCTTGATTGGCAGCAGTGTTTCAAATTTCTTTACTTTTTAAAAAGAGCATTTCATATTTAAGCATATAAATTTGTAGACTTTGTTGAATATTTATTTTAGTCTTAACATTTGTTCTTAAATTATTACATTGCATTATTTAATGCTTGAGTTCCATAATTAATGGTGTCATTACTATGTGACTGTGTATTTTAAAGTGTTATAATACGAAAGTTCATTGGTTTTTTTTTTCTTGACTCTTGAATCAAACTTATGACATTATACGTTTGTCAATAAAATATTTAACCCCACAAAGGTCAAAACTAGTATAGTATCAGAAAACTTATTTACCAAATTAGACAATTGAATCAATTAAAATAAGAAGTGAGAAAAACAGTGTTGGGCATTGAGGTGTAAATTTTGCCCAGATGTATACTCGGTGTGAAGTATCTTCTAGTAAAAATATATTTGGCTCCTATCCCTGCACATGTTGTAGTGGCATGAAAATTGGTAAACATGCCCCTGCTGTGTAGAACTTAAAGGGGGGAGCATTTTTGAGGGGGGTGAGTGGCTCCAATGTTGGGGGAAGCCCTCAGCGATCAGCCCCAAAATCTGACTGGTGGCACCGAGCTCCCACTGTCCTGGACGCACACGTCTGTGCCTCAGGTGTCTTGTGAATGTACTTGATAATTACAAAATAAAATACGCATCTCTTTGCAGTTTCAGCTCATAGTTTTGAGATACGTATTGATTCTCAGATTTAGGTTTTAATCACAAAGGATTTCAACAATTTGCAGGAATATTTTAAAACAAGACAGGGCGGGGCGCCTGGGTGGCTCAGTCATTAAGCATCTGCCTTTGGCTCAGGTCATAATCCCAGGGTCCTGGCATCAGGCCCCACATCGGGCTCCCTGCTCCACAGGAGGCCTGCTTCTCCCTCTCCCACTCTCCCTGCTTATGTTCCCTCTCTCGCTGTGTTTCTCTCTGTCAAATAAATAAATAAAATCTTTAAAAAAAAAATAAAATAAAACAAGACAGGGTGCCTGGGTGGCTCAGTCAGTTAGGCGTCTGCCTTCGGCTCAGGTCATGATCCTGGAGTCCCAGGATCGAGTCCCACATCAGGCTCCCTGCTCAGCGGGGAGTCTGCTTCTCCCTCTGACCCTCACCTCACTCTTGTGCTCTCTCTCTCAAATAAATAAAATCCTTAAAAAAAAATAAAAATAGGGCGCCTGGGTGGCTCAGTTGGTTAAGCGACTGCCTTCGGCTCAGGTCATGATCCTGGAGTCCCGGGATCGAGTCCCACATCGGGCTTCCTGCTCAGCAGGGAGTCTGCTTCTCCCTCTGACCCTCTTCCCTCTCGTGCTTTCTATCTCTCATTCTCTCTCTCTCTGAAATAAATAAAATCTTTAAAAAAAAATAAAAATAAAAATAAAAATAAAACAAGACAAATGTGGGGTGCGTGGGTGGCTCAGTCAGTTAAGCATCTGACCCTCGATTTCAGCTCAGGTCATGATCTTCAGGGTCTCGAGATCGAGCCCTGCCCCCGCATCAGGCTCCCTGCTCAGTGGGGAGTCTGCTGGAGATTCTCTCCCTCTCCCTCTGCCCCTCCCCCTGCTCTCATGCTCTCGTAGTCTCTCTCTCTCAAAAAATAACTAAATAAATCTAAAAAAACTAAAACAAGACAAATGAAATATGACAGGGGAGCTAAACATTTGCTGAGATCTCAATGTTCATATGAAAAATGAAGGGTTATTTTTGTATTGCAACTACTGAAGACAAAAATAAGAATTGAGGCAAAACCAGGAAAAGTTGATGTTACTCAAAACCCAGTCCTTTTTTCTTGTCCTGTTGACAGATAAGATTCCAGTTACATTCATGAAGAGATTAATAAAACGTCTTTATCATACTCTCAGACATGAGATGGGGCAGAGGACATCCTTAAAAGTGCCCTCCAAGTAGAAGTCCAAAATATTGTCAAGTAGAGGAATCAGACCTGAGAATCTGTTTGAAGATTCTGATACTGCACGTTTTCTGAGTAACAAATTTTAGTATTCTTTGTTTATCTTCATCCTGAAATTATTAAATTTTATCCCGTTTTATAAAGTCTCTTTTCTCCAAACAAATAACAATTTTTGACATTTTTTCTAGATCTAAATATTTTTAAACCATTCTCAGAAATTTATTTCCTAATTGATTCTACTCTATCTTGAACATTAAAGTTTCTTCAGTATCAAAACTATACCATGAATAAGATTTGCAAAGCTAGAACAAAACTCAAGTTTGTTTGCTTGTTTTAAGATTTTTTATTATTAGAGAGCACAAACAGTGGGGAGCAGCAGAGGAAGAGGGAGAAACAGACTCTCTGCTGAGCAGGGAACCCAACTCAGGGCTCGATCCCAGGACCCTGGGGATCATGACCCGAGTCAAAGGCAGACGCTGAACTACTAAGCTACCCAAGCACCCCAAAAATCAAGTTTTTAAAGATTTAAGACATGAAAAATTTTACACCATGGTATAAATTTATGTTTAAAATGCACATTTGAGGGGTGCCTGGGTGGCTCAGTTGGTTAAGCCGCTGCCTTCAGCCCAGGTCATGATTCCAGAGTCCTGGGATCGAGCCCCGCATTGGGCTCCTTGCTCTGTGGGGAGCCTGCTTCTCCCTCTCCCTCTGCCTGCGGCTCTGCCTGCTTGTCATCTCTCTCTCTCACTGTCTCTCTCTCTGTGTCAAATAAATAAATAAAATCTTAAAAGAAAAGAAAAGAAAATGCACATTTGAAATGAAATCAGTGTTTTTAAGTGGCTAATACTTGGTACTTTTAAAACCTGTGTAAGGTTTCTTTCTAGAAAAGCAAATACTTGACCTTAATTTTATTTTTAAGTTATAGTAAAGTTGTATTAAAGAAAGACATTTTCTCTTTAAGAAGTTCAGCAAGAGTATATCTGGGAAATAACTTACCATTTCATAGCTTCATATGACATGTCACTTCAATTGTATATTTAATTCACACATTTTTTTTAGTGTTTTTTATTTATTTACTTACTTTAGGGAGAAAGAGAGAGCATGTGCACCACCAGGGGGAGGGGCAGAGGAAAAGAGAGAATCCTAAGCAGGCTCCACACCGAGCACAGAGCCCAATATGGGGCTGGATCTCACAACCCTGAGATCATGACTTGAGCTGAAATCAAGAGTTGGACACTTAACCTACTGAGCCACCCAGATGCCCCTTAACTCACAAATATTTTTTGGAGTGAGAAAGTTCTAGAACCTATAAAATTCAAGACCTTCACTTTTTTTTTTTTTAAGATTTTATTTATTTAATTGACAGAGAGAGAGAGAGCAAGAGAGGGAACACAAGCAGGGGGAGGGTCAGAGGGAGAAGCAGACCCCCTGCCGAGCAGGGAGCCCGATGCAGGGCTCGATCCCAGGATCCCGGGATCATGACTTGAGCTGAAGGCAGTTGCTTAACCAACTGAGCCACCCAGGCACCCCAAGACCTTACACTTTTTTTAAAAGATTTTATTTTTAAGTAATCTCTACACCCAACGTGGGGCTCAAACTCACAACCCCAAGATCAAGAGTCACATGCTTTACCAACTGAACCAGCCATTGGCCCTGAGACCTTATACTTTTATGTATACATATTTTAATAATTTACATCTGAGAGCCATATCTGTTAAGTAAATTATGAGAACATTTTTCAACAATCCAACTTTTTAAAGCTATATATTTGTTGATTTCTGCTTCATTGAACTTAATGACAGAAAATATTCCCCAAATCTTCACTTTATGTATATGATCTCATTTACTCTTCACATCAGACCTATGAGGTAGTTAGAATCTTCCCTGCCCTACGAGTAGGGAAACCAAGATTTTGAAGGTAAAGTAATTTATCCTAGTGCACATGACCAGTAAACATCAACACTTGGTTGTAAATGGAGGTTGTCAGACTCCACGGGGAAGTCTCCGAAGTACTGGATCTCAGTTGCTGTATAGAGGAAGCCAGTAAATGCTTATTGTTGGAGACTCCAGCACAAGCTAGAATAAAGAAGCAATTTAGACGTACCTACAACCACCCTCAGACTAGAAAGATCTAATATGTCTTTAATGCAACAGACACCTAAATAAAATGAAACATAGCTGAGTTAAAAAAATTTTTTAAGCTGATAACTTGTTTATCCCATAATTATTTTGGTAAATCTTTACTCCAAACTCTAATTCTTACATTTTCTCAAATAATAGATTCTGTGGAATCAAAGTAATACATGTACAGTAACATATTATTCAAGAAACAGAAAGGCGCCATTCCAGTCATATAAAAGATAATAAAAACATCAAGAGTCACGTCAATCAAAAGGCTCTGTTGACTGGCAAACTCAATCTATGGATGGACCCAATTATCTGCAGGAGAATTGATGTCAGCATCATTTAGGGGTTAACAATGGACCAACTAGGCAGGAGCAGACAGCTACTCTCTGTAGAGACCCAGAAAGCAAACTTGGTAATGAGGCACTTCATTCATCATATCCTTCTGCTCTAATTATCAAAGTGAATAGGAAATACATTAAGTTAAGGCGGGAACTGGATAACATAAAAACATTTGTTTTGTAAACACAAAGAATGCTTTTTTTTCTAATGATCCTCTTCAAATCTACATCAGGCATATGTTCTCTGCACACTGTTTCCTCAAGTTGCTCTTCTAACACCTCAAATTCATTCGATTATGGTTGGGTTATTTTTGTTATCCCAAAAAGGGAGGGTAAGACTGCTAAGAGTCTACAATTTTAATTTCTACTCTCAACCTAAAAACGGTGGGGGGAGGGGTACAGGTACATATATAACCACAGTACATGGTCCACCTCCATCAATTACATCAAAATGGCCCAAATATATATACCGCAGTGCCATTTCTTAAAGTACTGAACAATCTAATTTTACTTACTCTAGTTCATTTTTTTCTTAATTCATCACTTGATCCTTATCAAGAATTGTGAAAGAATATGGTAGAAGAAAATGCAGGAATGGTTGGTTTGTACAACCTTTATGTAAGTAAATGCATATATTGCCAGTCATTTAAAATTGCCTGGGGGGCACCTGGGTGACTCAGTCGTTAAGCGTCTGCCTTCAGCTCAAGTCATGATCCCAGGGTCCTGGGATCGAGCCCCACATCGGGCTCCTTGCTCCACGGGAAGCCTGCTTCTCCCTCTCCCACTCCCCTTGCTTGTGTTCCCTCTCTCACTGTGTCTTCTCTGTCAAAAAATAAATTAAAAAATCTTTAAAAAAAAAAATAAATAAAATAAAATTGCCTGGAATGGAAATGATTTGCTTAATGAAGATAAAGAA